CTTCCTCAAGTGGAGGAGTTCAAGTATCTCGGGGTCTTGTTCACGAGTGAGGGGAGGATGGAGCGTGAGATTGACAGGCGGATCGGTGCAGCGTGCGCAGTGATGCGGTCTCTGTATTGGACCGTTGTGGTAAAGAGGGAGCTGAGCCGAAAGGCAAAGCTCTCAATTTACCGGTCAATCTTCGTTCCCTCCCTCACCTATGGTCATGAGCTGTGGGTAATGACCGAAAGAACGAGATCGCGGATACAAGCGGTCGAAATGAGCTTCCTCCGCAGAGTGGCTGGGCGCTCCCTTAGAGATAGGGTGAGGAGCTCAGTCACACGGGAGGAGCTCGGAGTAGAGCCGCTGCTTCTCCACGTCGAGAGGAACCAGTTGAGGTGGCTCGGGCATCTGTTCAGGATGCCTCCTGGACGCCTTCCTGGGGAGGTGTTCCGGGCACGTCCCACCGGGAGGAGGCCCCGGGGAAGACCCAGGACACGCTGGAGAGATGTCTCTCAGCTGGCCTGGGAACGCCTTGGGGTCCCCCCGGACGAGCTGGAGGAAGTGTGTGTGGATAGGGAAGTCTGGGCGTCTCTGCTTAGACTGCTGCCCCCGCGACCCGGCAACGGATAAAGCGGAAGAAAATGGATGGATGGATGGATTGTAATCGATAGTCCTGATAATCTACACTTTACTTGTTATATATTGCTAAATAGTGAAAGTGTCCTTGATAACATTTTCTTCAAACCTACATTAGTCTGTTTTTGTACATTTAGAAAATATTAACAGCTCTAAAATCCACACCGATAAAGAGTGTCCCTGGGTGGTTGTTCGTATCGTCTGCTACATTACACAGCTTGAATAGTAGCAGACTTTTGTCATAAGGGGAAAAGGTTGAAAAGTTAATGGCCTTTGCCTATTTGGTGAGCAATGAATGGCGCACATTTTGCAATATTTTTCGACATTATTTATGCAAATGAACAGTAACATCGGAAAAACATTATGAGAATATTTTAATGATTCAGCCTCACAATTCAAACTCACAAAGCCAAAATCCCAACTCTCCAGATTATGCATTTTAGTCCATTGTCATTTTACGACTTGTCATTAGTTCTTCCCATTGGAGAAGAACATTCCTCCCAAATCATTCATGAGCAGCACGTTTCTTTCCTTTTAATGCAGTCTTTCTCAGCGGAGGCAAGTTTTTGGGGGGCTCCATTTTCTCTTGTTCAAAGGGTCGGGAGCAGGCTGTGCTCAGAGTATTTGACTGCAGCATGAATCAGCAGGAAAACTCTTAAGCGCTCACACCGGGCTACATTCTTAACAAAAGGATCCGTACAAAGAGGGGAAGTATATCAAGCGTGGCCAATGGCTACGTATTGTCTGCTGGAAAAAAATTGTAATGAGCCCAATGATCCTAAAACACAGCGCTGGCTAAACAGACAGCCGGAGATTGGTGTGTGTTGTCCCAGTGTGTGCCGTAATGAACATTTCACACGCATACATTACGAGGATAAAGAAGAAGAGATATGTGAGGTTTAGAGGGAGGTGACAGGCAAGAACTCTGCTGAAAGTTTGAAAGCTTCATTATTATGGCACTTTTTACCTTTTTGGAGCTTTATTCTAAGGATGTTTGTGTTAAAAACATCAACACAACCTGAAGAATCTGAGTAGGTAATTCTTTCATTTGTGCTTTGACATGATTGTTTTCTTGATGCAGATTCTCAAATTACTATTATGTAGAATAAAAGGTGGCGCTCTGGTTCGCGGGTCCTCCAGGCTTTTCTGTGTGGAGTTTGCATGTTCTCCCTGTGTAGGTTTCCTCCGGGTGTTGCGGTTTCCCCTGCCACTAAAAAACATCTACAATAGGAACGAGTACAATGAGAGGTGGTGATGGTCAGGGGCTTTAATGGGCCAGTGTCTTCTGCGTCTCGTTTCTGTCATCACTGTGTGTGGAGAGAATGAAAATTCATGGTACACCAAAATTGTACATTGTAATCTTAATTTACGAGCTGTGCTGTCGTTCAAGCCTGAGTCCTCTGTCTACCAACACCTACCGCCTCTCTCTTTGCGAATTTTGTTTTCTGAATCTATGGTATGTGCATTACAGTATGCTCGAAGGAAAATAATATCATTACAACTTTGTCTGTGGAAGATCAGCGCCATGGATTTCAGAATACAGTATCTCCCTGACAATAGTTAAAGGGGGTGGAGATATGTGAGACAAGAGGACTTAAAGCTGCATTACCTCACTTTATTTTTGTATTCATTACAAAATTCAATCCATATCCATGGGTTATTGAAGAAAAAGTAGCGCAGATTTGTGCTGGCGTGTCATTTTATTTTAAATTGAGTTTTCATGCAACAAGGAAGAGAATTTGTTTCGGGACCAGATTGTGACAGCGGACCACTGGCCCACAGGTCTCTGGTTAGCACAGACAGCTGAGGTAAACAAGCGGCGGAGGCTAACCTGAAGCTTCCCGTGTCTTCGTTACCGGTTACTGCTTTCACAGTGAAACATCCAAAAGAAAGTCTCGTCCTCTCCGCGCTTCCCGGTTCTATCCTTCTATGGTCACGCCATCCACGTTCAAATGTGCAATCCATATTGTGAGACGTGAGCTATGTAAACACAAAAGCACAGGCTGAGTGGGAGGGGGGTAGTGGGGGGTGATAGCTCCGTGAGTGCAGGCAGGGCGAGCAGAAAGAGCGAGGCCAGCGCTCATAGGCCTGTCACGATTACAAATTTGGCTGGACGATTAATTGTCTCAGAAATTATTGCGATGGCAATAGTATTGTCGCTCTGAGATTATTTTCATCTAATACAATGATAATGATGCAGGTACACCTTTTCAAAGAGAAATATACTTTTATTTTTAAAGACCACCGCCGGAAGTGGCGGAAGTAAAAAGCCGCTGCTAGCGGCTTTTTGTGTAAAGTTCTTGCCAATAATGCAGCTCTGCAGCGTCTCTTTGTCTAGAGACCTTCAAGAGACTTTATATAACAGTCAGCGTCATAAGTTTATTTTATTATTAATCGGTACTTTTGCATCGGCGAACACGCTAGCTAGCTGTTGGCTAGCTGCACTAGTTTAGTTACTACTAGATCTGAATGAGAACTACTGTGTCCCCCGTTGTCAGTCCTGGTTAAGTCCTGGTTTAGGTCCCGTTTTGGCTGTATTTTGTATTTTTGAGTTCTTTCAGTCTGCTCGCGTCACGCGTGACCACTTTGCGGCTCTCTGACCCGAGAGGGAGAGAAAGACGGGAAAACAAACAAGCATGCAAATGGAATTCATCGCGGCCAGGAAAACTGTCGAGCTAATTTTAATTATCATGCGATTAATTGATTTATTGAATATCGCGACAGGCCTAAGCGCTCACATTTGAAAATTTCACAAAATGAGTTAGTGCAGCTTTAAGGTGAAGCTACTCCAATCGTACCATCTATAACATAGCTAAATCCAGAAATTTCAAGTGAACTTTATGTTTAACAAAGAGGCACGGGGTCATAAATGATATGTCCCCTTTAAGTCTATGTAAGGTTAAACAGATTTTTGTATTTATTATAATTGGTTATTTGTGATTAATTGATTAACTGATACCAGTGGTCCAATGCCAATTAGTTATGTAACTAGTTTTCAAATATTTTTGACAGTCATGAAAAGAAAACAGTACTTTTTCCTAATGGAATGTTTTTTGTGACATATTTAATAAGGCTTGAATGTGTCACATTGACTCACTTTTATCCGAATGAAGTGTCAGTGGACATAAAACCATTAGGAGGATGTGCATCCAGTGAAATGTTTTGCAGTTCTGGCTTCAAAGCGTATTATAATTTATACAACGTCAGTACATTTGAGCAGAGAAATATATTCACAACCTCAGAATTACTTTTGGATCAAAATATCTATTACAGAATGAAGGGTGTATTTACGGCTAAACTGTGTATGTGTGGTAACTATACATTATCCTCTATGCATTTAGTGACGCCTCCATTTCATTCTGCAAAGAATAAATTGAAATACAGTATGAATGCCAAATGTCAATCTTTATGACTACTAATGTTGCTTTTATACGACTGCGGCTGCCAATCTGTTCTAAATCTTCCAGTAATTGCAATCCAGATTGAACGCGGCTTGACTGCTTAGGAGCTCCGTATTACACTGTAAAACCATAATCAAATCAAAAGAGTTCATGTAAAGTTTGTTATGCATTGAAAAATGTACCATATTACATACTCACTCAACTGCGTTTTTGTTGTTTTTGAAAACTATAAGCTTCCAAAAGCAGAAGTCAGCATATTATCTCACTAAAAGAAATTCAAACACCAGTCAACATTAATAACCCAAATTAGCCTCAAAGCAGTCTTTCTACTCCCTATACTTGCTTGGTAGTAATTCAACAGAGCAGTGTTTGCTTACTAAGGTGTATATTTTAATTAGCGTCCATTTTTTTCCGCCCATATCACCTTCTTAAAGCTGAGCCGAAGATCTAAAGAATCCATAAGAGGCCAATTATAATTTCACCACAACTCCTCGTCCCTTCCCGTTTTACCCTTATTTACCAGCATCGCATTAACGTATAGTGGCTTTTATCTCGCCGATGACAGCTTCCACATTGTATCTAAGATGTTACAAAATCTGGGTGAATAAATAGGGAAAAGTATGCCACTGATCAAGGCTAGGAAGTACCCTTTTATGAAGCTGCATGACATCAAAGTGAGGGGGAAGAAATGGTTTCCTAGCTTCAAAAGTCCACGTTGGCTGTCTGAAAATCTGGAAGGCAAACCACCTGCTGGCAGCTCACGGCGTGCAAACGTGTAGAGGCCTCCTTGATAATTTAGCAGTTAAGAGTATTCTCAAGGCTTAAATATATTGCTGCAATAGGCTGCTGCGCTAAAAATAGCTCGGCGGCGATGTCTTCACTGATTGAAATAGAGATTGGGTACAAACAGTGTTGTCGAAATTGGCTGTGAATCAGGGCACAGTCTAATTAATGCCGTTTTCTCTGTGTGTTTTTCTGCAGTTGATTTTATAGGCGGCTTCGATTCGTACGGTTACCAGGGCCCCCAGAAGACTTCCCATCTGCAGCTACAGCCCATGTACATGTAAGTATCCATCAGTGTAATTATGTGATAGAACAAAGATTAATGTGTTGGAAGCGAAGGCAAGGTGAGGTAGCGGAGCAGCGTGGATGTAGTTTTGAGGCGAGAGAACGTGTGAAGGAAAATGTAAATGTTCTGATTAATACAGCCAGTGCAAGCCTGGTTTGTACACCCTAGGGCTCCGGGTCACAGGGTCCTTCACCATGCAATTTATGCAATTTTCACTATATTTGAGAATTTATGTTATATATTTAATAGATTTTCTAAAATAAATCACTAATCTTGAGACCTAATTACATCTTAACAAAAGCATGTTGTTGTTGATCTCTGACCTGCACAAACTTAATGTGCAACAATTAAAATGAATCATCAAAACAATGAATTTGTTAAATGTGTCATATTTACATTTAAAATTACATCTACATTATGTGTCTCCAGGTGATAGGTCACATGTTCAAATTTCTGAAATAGTGTGCTATATTGAACCGTGCATTTTTATTATTATTAGTAAGTAGGTATCAGGGACGTGCGGTGAGGTTTGTGATTGGGGAGGCACTGACTTTAAAAGTCAGATTTACAATCATTATTCAAATAAAATAGCATTTAATCACCAATGCAATGACATCCACAAACTTTATATACTGTAAAGATAAGAGAACCAGCTTCTTTTAATAATCTCACAACAAATCTAGCTGCTGACTCTGCTCCGCATCAAACAACATCTTTAAGAAGCGCAGGTGCGAGAGACGCGAGGAGAGAGAGACGCGAGGAGAGAGGAGCAGAGAGAGACAGAGAGGAGCAGAGAGACGGAGACGCGAGGAGAGAGAGACGGAGACGCGAGGAGAGAGGAGCAGAGAGAGACAGAGAGGAGCAGAGAGACGGAGACGCGAGGAGCAGAGAGAGACGGAGACGCGAGGAGAGAGAGACGCGAGGAGAGAGGAGCAGAGAGAGACAGAGAGGAGCAGAGAGAGACAGAGGAGCAGAGAGAGACGGAGACGCGAGGAGAGAGGAGCAGAGAGAGACAGAGAGGAGCAGAGAGAGACAGAGGAGCAGAGAGAGACGGAGACGCGAGGAGAGAGAGACGCGAGGAGAGAGAGACGCGAGGAGAGAGGAGCAGAGAGAGACAGAGGAGCAGAGAGAGACGGAGACGCGAGGAGAGAGAGACGCGAGGAGAGAGAGACGCGAGGAGAGAGGAGCAGAGAGAGACAGAGAGGAGCAGAGAGAGACAGAGAGGAGCAGAGAGAGACGGAGAGGAGCAGAGAGAGACGGAGACGCGAGGAGAGAGAGACGCGAGGAGAGAGGAGCAGAGAGAGACAGAGAGGAGCAGAGAGAGACAGAGGAGCAGAGAGAGACGGAGACGCGAGGAGAGAGAGACGCGAGGAGAGAGAGACGCGAGGAGAGAGGAGCAGAGAGAGACAGAGGAGCAGAGAGAGACGGAGACGCGAGGAGAGAGAGACGCGAGGAGAGAGAGACGCGAGGAGAGAGGAGCAGAGAGAGACAGAGAGGAGCAGAGAGAGACAGAGAGGAGCAGAGAGAGACGGAGACGCGAGGAGAGAGAGACGCGAGGAGAGAGAGACGCGAGGAACATAAACAATAATTTAAACAAGTTGCAGAACTCTTGAGCAGTGTTTGAATCAGTGTTTTTCGGAAAAGCACTACTTTGCCGGTATCTGTCAATGTTCAACATAAAACACAGATTAACAAACTCCTCCCCCGCAGCCGGACTAACCTCGTAAGTCCAGTGGTGGTCTCCCAGTCTATATTAATTCTTTCTTTGTTTGAAAGTCCAATTGAGAAAAAAAATCTTCATTCAAATCATCCATTTTCCAGCAAAAGAAATAGCATTTTGGGCTGATTGTTTGTTAGCAACTCTGGTATGAACTTTATGCTCACTATCACCCCTAGCGGTGAGGCACAGATACCGCCTGCCTCACGCCAAGCTTTTTCCTTGTGTGTTCATCTACGATCAAAAGACTTAAACTAAATATAAATTGTACACACATACGTGCAATACACGTAAAGCAGGATATTTGAAACAAACGGTGATATATCAACTGCACGAGCTGAGTGCACTCAGACACACACACACACACTGTGAGGGAGCGGTCTGGGGTGAGGCACGCAGGAGCGCTGCCTCACCTCGTCTCTTTGAATAGGAATAACGGGATTTCGGCGATTTTGACTTCAGAAATGATCAAAACTGATGGGAACCGTGCCGAATATACATTAAAAGCATAGGACAGTGGATATAAATTATATATTTAAACTAAAATAATTATTAGTTTCCAATAATGGCAGGTGAGGCTCTGCCTCCCCTGCCTCCCCTGACTGCACGTAGGTATAAGTATTATCATTAGCATTATTTTGATACTCAAAAGTTTTGTCTTTATTGCCCTTTATTCATTTGTATAGTGTATGTGTGTTTTTAATGTTACACGTGAGCGCCAACAGCCCACCTTCAAGTGATCTTATCATTTTGAAAAAGATAAAAATAACTCAGGCTATTTTAATCCTGTAAAACGTGTGCGTGTGGTTATAATTGATCCAAAAAGCTTAACATGTAATTAGTTGTAAAAAGATGGTTCTTCAGAGCAGCGTGATTCACAATGGGCTGTTCCTCTTGGCAGAGATCTATACAGTACTATACTTGGAGCATCTAGCAACACGTGGCACTATAGCTTCTGTCACGTATCATGGCTGCTGTTGTTGTCGCTGCAAAACACGGACAAAAATCAAAAGTGCATGTCCCTGGCTTTTTTAAGCACATCCCTGTTTCAGTCAGAAATAGAGGGGTGACGCAGACACTGATGCAAGTGGTGAGGGTTCACTGCTGCACAAAACATTACAATGTCTGAACTTCAGGAATGGATTTGACATGAACAATTATGGGAAATGAAAATGTATAATAGGGGTCATAAAAAAGCAGCAACCCTTGACTCTCACCGCGCAATTGTCTGTCATATAATCTCATTTTAAACGAAGAAAATTCTTAACACATACACACACACAGATACAGAGACTTTTGATAATTGTCCATTGTTTACTTTTAATAAACAAATAATCAGTATTAACAATTTTCTCACATTGTTCAATTTGGTTCGGTTTAAGATAACTTGCCAGACTATAAGCAGCTACTTTTTCCAAGTTTGTTCAACTCTGCAGCTTATATAACGATGCAGCCAATATATTATTTTTATTGTGGTAGAGAATCCCCCAAGGCACAGGAGAGAAGTTGGTCACAGTCCTATCAGCTGTGGTTTGTTTATGTGAAAAAAGAGGTGCACAAAATAATTTAAGGGCCTTAAGTGCTCACTTTTTTGTTTCATTCCACTTTTTTCAATTGAATCTGATTTGTATTGCCCTAATGCACAACAACAGTTATCTAAGCGGCCTGCAAAACTTTTTCAATTTACCAACATAAATTATACTGGTTGTTTGTCCCAACAGAACGACTTTTAAAAGACAATGTGTTATATTTTGCATACTTTTGAGAAAGAGCTCTGTGAGGGTGGTCATCTCCTTTTCAATTTTCTGTCTGAAAAAGCATAGTTAAAGTCATAGAATCAAACTGCATTGAGAGCAAGGAACCAGTTAACAGTTGTTTTTATTTATTTAGTATTTATTTAGTATCCCAGCTTTAATCACGTCTTGCCCTTTGCCTCATAAAGCAACGGTGATCACGTTACCTTCTACTTCCTCTCATTTGTCTCCATTGCCATACACGGCCTCACGTAATTGCTGCTCTGAATGAAATCAACACTGCTGACATTTAAAACGGCCACAAACTTACCCATAATCCTTCGTAATTGTCAACCATGTGGGGCGTTTGATGCGATGAATGATGTAAGGCTCGAACAGGCTGCTTGTGTCTGCGTCCGACTATGAGTGTATTTATCAGCTCAAGGTCTCATCAGCGGTGACTTTTCAAGCATTATAGCACGGCCCTTCCCAAGTTGAGTTGAAAAAGCGTTTTATCCTTGCCGCCGCCTCTCCTTGGCTACCGAAATGGATTTTGTAGTTTACATCCTACAGCCGTACGCGCAAAGATCCTCGCTCGTCATGTAGTCATTTCCCGAGACTGGAGGCATGGATTTAGATTTTTTTTTTTTTGCTGGGGACTATTCTTAGAGCCACGACGAGCCAATAGGACATCACAATCTGGGCTTACATAGGTCTCCCCCGCATCAATCTCAGTGTCTGTCCGGAGACGAGCGGAGTGGCCAGGCCTGATAATGAGCGCTCCACTGATGTGTCCGCAACAGCTGATCGATAAGCGTTCTCATCAGGAGCACAGCGAGTATTCCGAATCTCTACTCAAGTATCGAATGTGAAGGGATTCGGCAGCTTCTAAGTAATGACTTTAATATTGGGAGACGGCCATTGTGGCGCTATCTCTGCCGACTGCCTTCCATACCGTCACCGTGTCAATTTGCGAGACACCTCAATGCCGCACTGCATAATTATGACTAGGTGGTGTTCCATTGTGCTTGTATTCTTCTTTCAGATTAAAGCCGGGGTACCTAACTTTCAAACCGTTAAATTTTTTTTCACATTTTCAACGTTTTCAGACAGAAAAGTTGTAAAGAGTTCCCAGTGTTGTGCGTGAACGAGTTCAAAAGAACGCGTTCATTGAACACGCTCATTTTTTTGTGAACGTTGAACTGAACGCAACACATTTTTAAAAAAAGAACTTGAACGTGAATTAGTTCATTTTATGTGTCATGAACGGCAGTCATCACTATGAACGTTGGAATCTGTTTTCTCTTTTGAAACCCAACGAGAGAAAGTTCCTCCCTCCTGTATTCTCGCATTTTTTCCACCGAAATCAAAAAAATCCTACGGTTTCCACCGTCTGTGAACTCACCCCGACTCCGTGTTGCGTGTGCGGCGCTGTGAGCTGGTGCTTTTCACATGTGCCCGAGTCGTGATGAAAACACAGGGTGAGTTAGCGACAAAGTTTACACCGTTTACATTTGACATAAAGTATAGACACAGCACTGCAG